TTTATTCTTTTTTTTTTTTTTTTTTTTTTAGGTCAAAGTGTTTTTTATAACACTCCTGAGTGAAAATGTTGCTGATAATTTGATTTTTTAAAATTATTTATTGATTATATTTAATTTAATTGTTCAGTATCAAATGTTTACAGTTTAAATAAGGACTTTTTTTTTTCTTCAGGCAAATTGATGAACTTTAAGTTGTTTCTGTTACAAACTAAAAAAAAACAATGTTAATAAAGTTATTCTTCATTGTAAGTCGCTCTATTCTTTTTTTTAATGTAATGTTAATAAAGACACAATGTTATGCAGAGGTGTACTTATAACAATTTTATAGACAAATTATACTATTTACAGTCGCGGTTGGGGGGGGGGGGGGCAAAATTTTTACCTCTTTTGTTGGGGTTAACAGAAAATAATTGAGAAGCACTGATCTAAACAGAGTGACTTCTGTGAGGCCTCTGCTGTTAAGATGGCTCACTGTTTATCAGGGAGTTCATGACCGAGCTGTGGGAAGAGGTTTAAAAGATAAATGGAGGCTCCGTTATAAAATGTAGATTCATCTCATAATAAAGGCATTTTTAAAAAAGTGTACCTCTTCGTGCGGCTAATTTCCTGTGTACCGAGGAGATGATCATCAGCCATATTTCTAAGAATCCCCTTCTCGAATCTGACATCATTTCCTGCTTTTTCTTAAACATGCCGTATATTTAGCCTGTTCCACTTTTGAATTAGGAAACGTGCTCATGTATTGTTCTTGTTTATTTTCCACTAAACCTCAGGCAACACGGTGTATAGAGCTGGTTTTACATCAGTGTCTTGATGAGAAGTTTTTATGAGCAGGTTGAGTTTTGAGTCACTGTGTGTTCCCACTCCTAACAGGGCCAGACGTACAAAGACAGTTCCCCGAAGATTACCAAGACCAGGTCTGAACCACAGCACGCTCGTCCCAGCATGCTCAGCTCATCACTGTTTCTGTACACGTAGTTACTTCTCCTCCGATTCTTCTTTTACTGATGAATCTTTGCACAAACTGGAGCTGTATCGATGCACGCATCAGGAAAAACTAGTTTAAGTTTATTTCTTCAAGTGTTGCCCTTTATTCTGTCCCCTCAGTTTTACTCATAACTTGTTCTTGTCTACTCTAACTTTGTGTACTTTAATACAAAGCAACAATCGCAGTATTTGTACATAACTCTCCCTCATCTCTTACAGGAAACACTGCTCACGGTGCCAAAGTTCTGCTTCCCCTTCAGCATGGACTGGTACACACACACACGAACACACACAAGGTTATCAAACGTGAATTTTTATGTTTTTATCATTAACTTAAGCAAGTGTTTGAATTAAAAATCTAACTTTTACAGGGACTTATAATTCTTTGCCGACATTTTAATTTTACTCTAGATTGTTTTCTTCATTTCAGAGCTGCAACACGTTTTAAAAATAGCAAATTTTGCCCGTTTTTGGCCTTTAATGATGACAAAAATAACATTTTAAAGCAGGAACAGCAAGGACCAAACCAGCCTTTAGTTGCTTCTTATTATCCGAGTATTTAATAGCTAAAGGAAGTGAAACATCCAAATTATTTCTCCTGTTGACCCACGTCATGAGGAGTCTCAGTGAGGCTAGTCGCTCAGCAGGAGTGAGCTCATGAAAGCCTGTCTGCTGAGCGGTGGATCAGAATGCATCTGAACTTAATTCTGCTGCTTCAGATCTTTTCTATTGACTGTGCATAGTTTTATCAGTTAAAATATTGAGTGTTTTATTGTTTCTTTTTTCTATATTTTCTATTTATTTATAGTCGTGACTGATGAAAGCTGCTGTCGGTGTCTTGTGTTTCTGCATTCGTGTCTTTAAAACATCCTTGTATTGTCTCGTTGTTGGGAACCACCATCTGACGTTCGGCTTTCCTTCCTGTCCTTCCTTGCCTGTCTGGTGACCCGTTCTCGCCCTGCAGCCACACGGTCCACCAGGCCGGCCAGAACTTCACCTTTGTGTTGACCGACATTGAGAGTAAACAGAGGTTTGGCTTCTGTCGCCTCTCTTCAGGCGCACACACCTGCTACTGCATCCTCAGGTGAGTGTGTGTTCAAACACACACACTGGACTTTGGTTTTATTAAAGGAGTTCCACCAACTAAAGTTCTATCGTCTCCTTGTTTTACGTAGATTGTTGCGTTTCACTGAATATCATTTTCATACAATCATCCAGTCAGCTTTCGCTCAGCCCGCAGGAACCCTGTTTGTATTGTTGAGCTGTGTTTTCTGGATAAAATCCTTTTTTTTTTACTTCTTCGGTTGGACTTTTCTTATTTCAGCCATATATTGCTTTTACTGAAACCTTAACGTCTTCCACCAAAGTCCATGCTCAATAATCCAGGTATACAA